CCCCCCCCCCCGTTGGTCTGTATTGTGCCATAGCTTTCTCCAGTAATGAAACCAGGTAAACTTGTTTACATTCCAGTATAGTAGAACAGTTCTATATATATAGAGTAGATTATACAATAATATGTATTCCAGTATAGTAGAACAGTTCTATATATTTAGTAGATTATACAATAATATATATTCCAGTATAGTAGAACAGTTCTATATATGTAGTAGATTATACAATAATATATATTCCATTATAGTAGAACAGTTCTATAAGAGATTATACAATAATATATATTCCATGGTATAGTAGAACAGTTCTCGTAGATTATACAATAATATATATACCAGTATAGTAGAACAGTTCTAGGAAAATATACAATAATATATATTCCAGTATAGTAGAACAGTTCTAGTAGATTATACAATAATATATATACCAGTATAGTAGAACAGTTTTAGGAGATTATACAATAATATATATTCGATTATAGTAGAACAGTTCTAGGAGATTATACAATAATATATATTCCAGTATAGTAGAACAGTTCTAGGAGATTATACAATAATATATATACCAGTATAGTAGAACAGTTCTAGGAGATTATATAATAATATACTACTGTATATAATAACAGTTCTATATATGTAGTATATAATAACAGTTCTATATATGTAGTAATCTAGGAGATTATACAATAATATATATACCTGTATATAATAACGCAATTTCCGCGCTCCTTTTATTCTACAAAGGAATTGAGTCTTTGCCACAAACTCAAATTTTCTAATCCCTATATCTTTGTAACCAAAGGTGTAAACCTTTGATATTTAAAACTTGGATTATTTGATCTAACAGATTTCATAGTTTGAAATCTAAGTTCTTTGACATTGGTTTGCAGTGATAAAGTAGTTAGGAAATTAGAGTTTGTGGCAAAGTCTTAATTCCTTTTAAGAATATAATGAGTGAGGAACTACCTTTATCCGGGGTGGTTAATGGGCGATCTAGAAGAATAAGAAAGAAAGTAGAAAAAGAAGAAGAAGGAGAAGAAGAAGGAAGAAAAAGTAAAACAAAGAATGTAACTGGAAAGAGAAACAAAAAGACCAAGAAAAGAGAAAAAAGCAGTGATCCTTCAGATAGTTTAAATAACAGGTGACAGAAGATTTAATTTTGCATAATTTTTCATAGAAAAGAACAACATGGCCTCTACCCTTTTTTAATTTGTAAAACAAGATCCAAACATTAAAATTTATTTACCAAATTTTATGATAATTTTTAGTGGCACTTACTCAAAGATGCGATTAAGATGTTCCTAACAGTACCCTAGATCCCTTTATGATAAAGGAATTGAGTTTTTGTAACAAACTCTGATGTTCTAATCCCTATATCTTTTCAACCCAATGTAGTAGACCTTAAATATTTCAAACTATGAATTATGTTAGATCAAGTAATCCAAGTTTGAAATATCAAAGGTTTACACCATCCGGTTGCAGAGATATAGGGGTATAAAAATTTGAGTTTGTTTCAAAAACTCAGTTCCTTTGCCCAATCTAATGACACCAATTGAAAATTCTTTAATAAAAGTTTTTAAGGAACATTTCTCAATGACACTCTTTATATTTGACTAGCTTGGGAGCCCAGCTTTTCATGGAACATATTGTTACCTACTGTAGTCAATACACTCAACTTGGAATTTTTTAACCAAGCTAAGAACATTCTTCTGGTTCTACCGAGTTACCCGATTAAAACTTGGGGCAAATCGGTCAAAGGGTTCATGAGTTATGATCGGACATACAAAAACAAACAGAGATTACTACTATATAAATATGGATTCACATGAAACTACATGGACAGTACCTTTAGTATTTATTATTTATATAAATCCTAACCGAGACAATTATTCTAGTTATGTCAGAACAACCGAGTTTAAATCAGAAAACAGGGACAGGTTATTCTAATTTTAGTTAGGTTAACATAACTTATTCTAATTTTAGATATTTTAACAAAACTTATTATAATTTTAGATATTTTAACAAAACTTATTCTAATTTTAGATATTTTAACAAAACTTATTCTAATTTTAGAAATTTTAACAAAATTTATTCTAATTTTAGATATTTTAACAAAACTTATTCACAGAATTTTCTAAATATGAAATTAGCTTTGCAAGTTTGCAACTATTACTTTGTACTATATTTAGCTCAAAAAAACCAAACTGAATATATAAAAATCATGATTTAAGCTTTAATAAAAGCCAAGCTCCACTTTTCAATTGTTGTTTAAGATAAACTATGAAATATATTTGCATTACCTGTAAAAATCTCTTTATTATCTCTTTATTATCTCTTTATTATCTCTTTATTATCTCTTTATTATCTCTTTAAAAAACTGTAAAATAACAAAATAATATTTAGGATAAACAATGATATATCGAACCACAGGGTAATCCATGTTGCAGATAATATAGCCAACATTTGGCTTTTTCAATATTTTTATTTTCTTAATAAATCAATATATTTGAAATTAAACCTTTATATTCATTTGTTCGCATATATAATTCCTAAAAAATGCACATGGCTTTGTGGATAGGCAAGGAAGAAAGACGTAAACCCAGCTAAAGAAGAGAGAAGAAGACGAAGAGAAAGAGAACGGTACAAATGAGTATATAGTAGAAGGGGGAGAGGGGGAAAGGGAGGGGGGGAATAAACAATATTTTTATGATTTTTAAACGTATCTGACGTCATATCATATCATATCAAAGTTGGAACAAAAGAAACAGAAACAAAAGAACATAAAAAAACCATTCAGTCCAATTTGAAAAATTTGAATTTATCCTGTGGCCTGTAATACGCCCGATACAGTTGGTTTTCCTGCACCATTTAAAGATGTTCAGTAAATGCTAGAATTCGTCTATTCTCTCTGTCTTGTAATTCTACCGAGAGAGAGCCTGTTCTTCGCCGACTACGGGTAACTCCTTTGGGCTTCTGCATCAGGGTTATTGTGAACGAAATCTTAATCTGTTATTTTAATTAATCTATGGGTTAATGTCTTTCTGAAATATGATATATTGAGTACATCACTTATATTGAAAAACGTAAATACATGAGTTCATCTCCCGTTTAAGTGGCACTTTATGCAAAGAATAATACACCTATGTCAGAGCAAAAATAATGGCGATGTCCTTTATTTCAATTTGAAAGTTGATCATTTTCAATTGCAATTTTCGATCTCCATATTAAATTGTCTTACGGGTTCATGTAGCATAGAGAAGGAGAGAAATTGACAGAATTTTTCACTTTGCAATTTAGAAAAACAATATCTTATTTAGCCTTACTTAGAAAACGATTTAAAGGGTTACAGTCACTTAACTCCTAAAGAGTAACTTAAAATTACGCCGACATTCCCTTTACAGGAAGTTTATATGGACATCGCGAACACTCCCTTTAATAAATTTTCAGGATAAACCAAGAGAATGAGAATACAGAGAACGGTGGGCAACAAGATGAAATCATCGAACCTCAACCAGACTTACAGGTTGCAGATATATCATATTTAAACCAGACTCACAGCTTGCAGATATATAATATTTAAACCAGACTCACAGGTTGCAGATATAAAATATATAAACCAGACTCACAGGTTTCAGATATATAATATTTAAACCAGACTCACAGGTTGCAGATATATAATATTTGAACTAGACTCACAGGTTGCAAATATGTAATATTTAAACCAGACTCACAGGTTCCAGATATTTAGAATTTAAACCAGACTCACAGGTTGCAAATAAATAATATTTACACCAGACTCACAGGTTGCAGATATTTAATATTTAAACCAGACTTACACGTTTAAGACATTTGTATCTAGGCCAGAGTTATAGGAGTATTTATTCATGAATGCGAGGTTCTAAAAATGGATTTTTTAATCGCTCACCCTGTTGTTAAAGTCAGGTATTAGTCAGTTTGAAATAGAATTGTAAAACGTCTATATCTGTCAAGTAAACGCGCATTCATTAACATAATTAGTTTTTGGGGGAGAGGACATACTTAAAGTGATTGTAGAGTGTAGGCGAAATCCATTTAATCTATTTAAAGAGGGTTATGTCCGATTCACAATGGTGCTTTTAAAATCTAATTGAGAAAAAGAATGAAATGGTTTTCAGCTTATTTGGAGGAAAAGTTAGTTGTTAGGTATACAGACTTATGCCAATACAAATCATTTTCCTTACCTAAGGTTAAACTAAAGAATTGAGAGTAATAAGTAGATTAAAAACGTGTTTAACACATAAATCAATAAAATGGCTAAGTAGTTTTCAAGAAAATGATTGATATTGGCAAAAGTCTGCATAAATGAGAACTAACTTTTCCTCCAAATAAGGAACATATCATTTTTTTATAATTTAATTTGATTTATCACACTATTTTCATTGTTTCTGCAGCAGCATAAATTCGTAAGTCATTATGACAGATTGACAAATTTTAGTTAGATAATTAAAATATCACAATTATCCTTCACCAGACAAAGGTTCAAAGAACACGTCAAAGGAATTGAGTCTTTGCCACAAACTCTGATTTTCTAATCACTATATCTTTCCAACCCAATGTTACAGACCTTAGATATTTCAAACTATGAATTCTGTTAGATCAAATAATCTGAGTTTGATATATCAAAGGTTTACAACATCGAGTTCTAAAGATATTGAGGTTTAAATATTTGATTTTGTTCCAAAGACTCAATTCCTTTATAAACTGAGGTTCACTGAACCTTAGTTAAACCATGATAAAACATAATTAAAAAAAAAGAATCAATATTTTTATTTAGTTTGGTTGATGGATTAACTGGAAACTTTCTAGAGAAAACAAATCCTAGCCGTAGAGTCACTTCTTACTATGAAGGTGTAAATAAAGTTATAATTATTTGGAAATAAAATGAATTCAAAACTAGGAATTCAAAATAATTTTTGCTTCAAAAATTTTCCACAAATTAAAAATTATGAAAATTTAAAGCTTTTCATTTTGACTCCCATACAAAATAACCAGTAGTTTTTGAGCCACGAACAGACAATATAACATTAAAAAAAAAATTTTTTTAGATGAAAAAGTTTCACGAATTCTGCCATTGATGACGCAGCCTTTCGACTTCCGGCTTAAGAGAGACATTCTACCAAAGTAAACAAACAGCATTTTCAAAGTATTCATCGAAATTTTATTTTTTTACTAAGGATTTGAGTTTTTGTCACATACACTGATTTTATAATCCCAATATCTCATTGGTCAAATCAGAACCAATTAGAATCATTTAGACTAATTGTAGACCCAAGGAAAGGCTCAAGTTTAGGAAAGGTTGGGCTTTATTTTTAAAAGCTCAGCTCTGATTAGAGATCCAACAGAAAAGTTTGCCCGCCGATAACCTATTTTGTTGTAGGTGGGAGGAATTACTATTGTTCAATGATGATTTTGATGCAACATTTGAAAAACATGAGGTACAACAATATTTGCGTTGTTTCATCAAATAAAGAAATTGGGTCTTTGTCACAAACTATGTTTTTTTAATCTCTATATCTTTGCGATCCAATCAGGTAGACCTTGGAGATTTCAAACTATGAATTCTGTTCGATGAAAAAGTCTAAGTTTGAAATATCAAAGGTGTACACCATTAGGTTGAAAAAATATAGGTACTAGAAGATCTGAGTTTGTGGCAAATGCTCAATTTCTTTATATTATTATGGTTTTACTGAGATTACGTACATCTAAGAATTAAGATTAACTTCTTCTTATTTCAGAATATCGTGATGTTCTTTGAGATCATCGATTTTGTGAGTATGGCAGTTGCAAATGAAAATTACAGGAACAAATTACCAATAAATTGATTTTTAATTTTAAAAATTTTAGTTAACCCTATCCCTGCTGGGGTACTTGAAAACCAGGATATTCTGGGGGGGGTCAATTTGCCCCCCCCCCCTCTAAATCCCATGTTTTATGTCCAAATATGACAAATGATACATCATTAGAAAGCTGTTGTGCTCTACTTTTAGAATCTGCAATAATAATAATAATAATAATAATAATAATAATAATATTTACAATAATAATAATTTCCAGGCAAAAAGATTGGACCTCTAAACGATTTGGAGAAAGAACAAGGTGGGTTCAATAGTAATTTTCTTTTTAATTTGCCGATTTTTGTACTTTCATTTTTCAACTCTTTAATTATCATTTTAACAAACACATTACTAGCATCAATCACAAATTTTCTAATACCTATAATTTCTCCATCTGGTGTAAACCTTGGATATTTTAAACTTTTAGATATAGCAGAATTCATGGTATATCTGAGCTTTGTGAAGCGCAATCAATTCCTTTGTTGTCTAGAGTACAGCTTTATAAACCTGGAAATCTTGAACCTGGTGGAGATACAGCTGAGGATTGGGAAGTGTAATCAATTCCTTTGTTGTCTAGATTACAGCTTTATACTACTGAAAATCTTGAACCTGGTGGAGATACAGCTGAGGTTTGGGAAGTGTAATCATCTCCATTGTTGTCTAGATTATAGCTTTATAAACCTGGAAATCTTGAACCTGGTGGAGATACAGCTGAGGTTTGGGAAGTGTAGTCATCTCCTTTGTTGTCTAGATTACAGCTTTATAAACCTGGAAATCTTGAACCTGGTGGAGATACAGCTGAGGTTTGGCATTGGTGGAACACAAACAAAAGGTTGTACAATAATTTAATACTTCAATAATTCCACTAAAATAAAGAAAATCTTAAATGGAATGTTAAGAAAACCCTTAATCACTGATTGCCAAAAACAAATAAAAAATTGAACAATTCTCCTTTTTTATGTTCTTTGTAAAATCTCTCTAAAAAGATACAGGAGTAGGGTTTTAAAAGGAAAAAAATGTCTAGTTATATAAAAAATAAAAAAATTTTAATCCTTTTGTTTAGAAAACAGTATCCGTCCTCTATCTGGGTGACTATTGAACCTGTAATGCCTCCGTCCTCCTCTGAACCAACTATTAGAAGTATGGTTCCAACCCAACCAGAGTTCGGAAACCAAGTGAGAGAAAATAATCTCTTTTTTTCAATAATTAGGTGTAAGTTACTGCTGTATTTTTATGAGTTACGAATATAAACCTTAAACTGTCCAGGGTAACCTGATAATTAGTGAAGTAAGTAGCTCCCAGGGTGACCAACCAACTGTAGTTTGGACTAGACTGCCAGGACAATCTTGTAAGGTACATAGTTTTCACATACTTTTACTGTTTTTGTCCCATTAAATAGATTTTGCACAACAGATTGGAAATATAATGTTCTTCCACCAATTCGACAAATGTACCCAATTATGTTTATACCTACAAATGCACCCAATTATGTTTATACCTACAAATGCACCCAATTATGTTAATACCAACAAATGTACCCATATATGTTAATACCTACAAATGCACCCAATTATGTTTATACCTACAAATGTACCCATATATGTTAATACCTACAAATGTGCCCATATATGTTAATACCTACAAATGCACCCAATTATGTTTATACCTATAAATGTACCCATATATGTTTATACCTACAAATATGTCACGCTCAAATTAAAAGGCTCTTTGTTTTAATTCCTGTGGTTCATTTAAATATTTATTTTTAGATCCCGAACACTCGGAGTATAGAACTTGAATCTGGAGCCCGTGGCTGTTCAGCCTTATCCTTCTCGGCCGATGGCCGCCGATTAGCAGTAGGGGTGGCTGGTCAAACTACCTCTACCATTCGTGTTTACGATATTCCATCAGGAATCCTTGTCATACAGTTGGAACAGCTTTATGGACTCGTTTACGAGATTTCATTTCATGAGGTAATACTAAGGGTATACTTAAAAAACGCTGGGCAGCGAAAATTGGGTTACAACAATTGGTTAAGGTAATCTATTTTGTGAAAAATATCTTTGTAAAGATTAATTGATGATACCATAAAGCTACTTTTTAAAGAATCTTTTTCTATTTCATGCACAGATTAATAACAATACAGATAGAACACTAGAAGTTAGAACCGGCTCTATCTCTGTATTGTAATTCAACGCGGCAGTCGCATAACTCCTTTCGGCTTCTGCTTGTGAACGAAAACCCCCTTAATCTTAAAAAGACGACATATAGTGTTCTATCTGTATTGTTATTAATCTATGATTTTATAATCCAAAAAAGAATCTTCAAAATCTAAAGTCCACTGAAAATTTGGGAGGTTCGTTCAACGATACTGTCTTAAATTTAATGATCGGCGGTGACGCAGGGGAGGAATGAGGATCTTTGTAATGAAAAATTAGGACAAAGGAGACTAGATACATTCCAGATAAATTGTAATCGATGATAGAACTAGGACGGATTTGATAAATATCTGTTATCTAGGATATCATTAGGACGGAGTAAATAAAGATATATTCTCTAGGATAAAATTAGGACGGATTAAATAAAGATATATTCTCTAGGATAAAATTAGGACGGATTAAATAAAGATATATTTTCTTGGATAAAGTTAGGACGGATTAAGTAAAGATATATTCTCTAGGATAAAGTTAGGACGGATTAAAAAAGATATATTCTCTAGGGTAAAATTAAGATGGAGTAAATGAAGTTCTATTCTCTAGGATAAAATTAGGACGGATTAAATGAAGACCTATTCTCTAGAAAAAATTAGAACGGATTAAATGAAGATCTATTCTCTAGGATAAAATTAGGAAGGAGTAAATAAAGATCTATTCTCTAGGATAAAATTGAGATGGAGTAAATAAAGATCAATTCTCTTGGATAAAATTAGGACGCATAAAATGAAGATCTAGTCTCTAGGATAAAATTAGGATGGAGTAAATCAAGATCTATTCTCTAGGATAAAATTAAGATGGAGTAAAAATAGAGATAGTTACTTTAGGATATAATTAGGATTGAGTAAATACATATCTTTTTTTCAAGGATATAAAAGATCCCTAGGAGTAAATAAAGATCTCTAAGATATAATGAAAATCTATTCTCCAGGATGGTTTAATGACTGCTGCAGTGGGAGATGGAAGAGTATCAGTGTGGAATACAGATACATGGGAACTAATTCATAAACTTGATCATCCTTCATATATTTACAGGTTTAATACTAATTATAAACTATCGGTAATCTACACATATTTACGCTACAGAATTATTGTCAAAGTTTATAAATTATATCTCCAAACCTGTTATTTTTTATAAGGCAAAAAATCATCAATATTGTGAAGTTTTCAAACCATTAATATCATGATTATCACAACTTTTATACAGGGAGTGATTTTCGTCTTGGTTCTTTCTTAAATAATCATGAATACCGTAAAGGATTTAATAATTGTAACTTCGTTCTCAGCTAGAGCTCTTGATATGTTTCATTAAACTACTTATTTCCCCCCTCATCGTCTTCTTATTATGTCCGTAAATATTTCGTAAGGAAATGAGTTTTTCCCCCTATATCTTAGCAACCAGATGTCATAAACCTTTGATATTTTAAACTATGAAGTCATTTAGATCAAATAGTCTAAGTTTGATATAACATCGGTTTGCATCATCTGGTTGCAAAGATATAGGGATTAGAAAATTTGAGTTTGCGACAAAAACTCAATTCCTCTGCAACAGAACTATCTTTACAGATACTCCTGAAAGGCTTTAGAGGTATACATGCCACAGTTTTTTGGTTCGTACTGTATGCTTAATATTTCAGTGCTGGGTTCTATCCAAAGAATTCAGATATAATTGCCACAGCTGGATTCGATAGAGTAGTTAGGAAACAAATCATTCTTTAAATCACAGTTCAAGACAATAAAATAAATAAAAAAATGCATAGAACAGTAAAGTTAGGTTTTTTTTAAATTAACATTTCGCTTTTAACAAAATTCCTATTCCAATCATGATAAAGTAATAGTTCGATTTAACGTAGAATTAACAGAACAGAATTCTGAGATTGCATAAAACTAAATATTTTGAAAAAACTGAAGGAATTGATCACACACGTCATACTAAAGTAAATTGAAATCTTTTATGTCTTAAAACATAACTCCTCTAATTGAAGAGACATTGAAGAACAAGATACATTTTCTCAAAACTTGTTGAGCTCCGAGATCACAAACCGTCTTCCTTTCTTTACTTCACAGTGAACAAAGGTTTACGACATCTGCCTGCAAAGATACAGGGATTAGATAGATTTAGAAATCTGTTTATTTATATTATCAAACCATAGCTGAAAACTTTAGAATGGGATATTCTTAATCTTGCTCTGATAATTAATCTGGAGATTAAAAATGAGAGGAGAACAAGCAATATTTAATCTCGAGATTAAGAAAAAGAGTGGATTAAAGGGACTGTAAAGCCTTAATCCCGATATCCACCATTCTAAAGTTTTCAGCTCATGAAAATTAGACAAAATTAAAAATTATTTGTTTGTAATTCAGATTATGGAAGAAGGAAGGAAGAAGAGGCAAGGTAGGTTAAAAATATTCCAATATTTTAATTTTATTTCTATTTCTCTTATTCCGTTTTGAACTCTTTTCTGCAGGAAGAGAAAGAGTTTTTAAAAGGGAGTGATAAACTTATTTTTATTTATAGAAAAATAAATTTATAAACCTTCCTTGGTTCAATCCTAGTAGATGCTTTATTTACAGAAAATTCATTATTAATCATCCTTATGTTTTTGGTGATCACTCTCTTTAAGATAAAAAAATTAAATATATTTCTAGCATTATTATTGAATAGATTTTTGAACAATTTCTTACAAAATGTTAATAATTTTGTCATTTAAGGATAAAACTTATTCAGTGGTCCAGGAGCTTTCAGGTATATTTTCTTAAAACCCCCCTCCCAAAAAAAAAACATTTTTAAATAAGCATTTATAGTCTATAATATTTTTCAGTTTAATACTTCCGTAGAGTTTTCAACATACATTAACTTTTTTATTAGTTTTATATAATCAAGATTTTTCTATTTTTTGGACTAAAAAGTTTTTTTATTTCAGGACACAACAGTCACATTAACTGCATTGTTTTTGATGCAGAGGGACATTTTCTTTTTTCAGGGGACAAACAGGTCTTTCAAACATTCTTTTCAAACATTTTTTGTCATTTTTTAGGTGTTTTTTTTACCTTTTCTCTTAGTTTCGGTCGGTTTAAATAAATTTTTTAAATCTCTCATTGACCAGGCCCTGAACCCTTGACCATTAAGAGAAGAGAAAATTAATTATTTTCTTTCAAATCTAAATCTAGTGCAGCTGTTAGCAGACAATATTAAAATATAGCCTTCATTCTGGATAAATATAGTAAATATCATCTTAAACGTTGATTTTAAAATTAATCATTTTCAATAACTTAAATTTAATTGTTAACGTGTACTGTGTATAGGGTCTTCAAAAAACTCACACAATAAACAGAAAATCTTGCACATTCTGACGTAGAAAATCTATTCGATTTTGTCGATAACTACTTTACTATAAAAGTTGGTAACAATCTCTTAACAGCTTTGAAATACNGTGGCTTGGCATGGCAAACCCAAGGGTCAATGCCTGTCAACATTTTAAATTATTCACTATAATTATAAATATATGATCGCTGTGATCATTATAATATAATGATAGTTAGGGATCTAAAATGTTCCAATTTGTATGGGCCCAGCCCTATCTCTGTACTCAGCTGTTCAAATATCTACTTTAGACCTACAGATTGTAATTTGACGGAGATTTATTTATTTCTATGTTTTACGTGTACTCTCCTGCATTACATGTTTCACGTGTTATTCTCACACTTGTGCGTAAAATCAAAACTAGAGGAGCTAGGAGGTCACAAACCCGGCCCAGTATTGTCGGATTAATTTTACCTCTTCCTTCTGTATAGTTCACAATGGGTTAACTGTCATATGTTCTATATATGTATTGTTTAGGGCACGATCAAGATGTGGGAATCCCTGGATAATCAGAACCAGATCGGATTCGAGTCCTCTACAGACTCATACGCTCGACCTAACACATTCAGGTCAATATTATTTAAAGGGACTGTCGTTGCAATTCCTTTCTACTTTCTCTGAACAAAAATTGGCTCAATTAATTTATTTTTGAAGTAAGAAAAACGATGATATCACCTCTTTAAATTGTTCTTACAAAACCTGCTAGTTTAGATTGATTTGGATGATTATTTACATTTGTAATTTCCCTCAGTGCATTTTTAAAATATATTTTTTTTTAATTGCAGTTGTTTTTAGAGAATGGAGATATAAACGAGAATACAAGGTTGAAGATCAAGTTTGTAAACTATCCTTGCATCCAGGTACTATCGGAGATACTAAACTATCCTGCATCCAGGTACTATCGGAGATACTAAACTATCCTTGCATCCAGGTACTGTCGGAGATACTAAACTATCCTTGCATCCATCCAGGTACTATAGGAGATAGTAAACTATCCTTACATCCAGGTACTATAAGAAATACTTATAAACTATACTTACATCCAGGTACTATAGAAGATATTAAACTATCCTTAGATCCAGGTACTATCGGAGATACTAAACTATCCTTGCATCCAGGTACTATAGAAGATATCAAACTATCCTTAGATCCAGGTACTATCGGAAATACTAAACTATCCTTGCATCCAGGTACTATCGGAGATACTAAACTATCCTTGCATCCAGGTACTATCGGAGATATATAAACTATCCTTGCATCCAGGTACTATAGTAGTTAAAGAGTTTAAACTATCCTAGCATTATGATATATAAGAATTAACTAAATTGTGATTAACTTTGCTTTGTTTAGGAGGACGGAGATTATTAGTTCATAGATTAAATCCTACTTCTCCCCTAGTAATGCTAGATCTTAGAAATGGTAGCTTCATGCAGACTTATCCTGATATACAGGTTGGTAAACCAGTAGCTGCATGCAGACCTATCCTAATATACAGTTTGGTAAACCAGTAGCTTCATGCAGACTTATCCTGATATACAGGTTGTTAAACCAGTAGCTTCGTGCAGACCTATCCTAATATACAGGTTGGTAAACCAGTAACTTCATGCAGACTTATCCTAATATACAGGTTGGTAAACCAGTAACTTCATGCAGACCTATCCTAATATACAGGTTGGTAAACCAGTAACTTCATGTAGACTTATCCTAATATACAGGTTGGTAAACCAGTATTTGTCAAAGTAAAAAGCTTTTAAAAACACATTAATTTGAATACAATTACTTCGATTCAAACCTAAATATTATATTTGCTTTCAGACATTTCGAGTTCCTGCAGCAAGCTGTATTACTCCTTGTGGTAGTTGGGTGATAGGAGGAAGCAACTCTGGGTACTCGGTTGTATGGAACACAGATACTGGAGAAAAACAGGAAATCAAACACATCCTTTAAATCTTATATCATTTAATTTCCAATCCATAGTTCAGGAAAACGGATTTCTCGCCTCAAACTTTGATTTTCTCTGTGCAATTTACTGTAGCATAACTTTTATATGCATTTTAATAGATCAAATGGTCAAACTTTGGAATAACATCAGGTTACCAATATATTGGGATTAGAAAATTAGAATTTGGGGTGAGGTATCAATAATAAATAACTGTATACGCTGCAAAAATCCCAAAATGTACATATTTATTTAATATTAGAAGATGTTTTGTTTATGTACAACAGCATGTGTACAAGGATCTACCGTACACTGGTCCTATTTCTGCAGTACAATACCATCCATTCGACCATTTCCTAGTAATTGGCAGCTCAGAACCTAACAGCAAGGAATGCTTAATTACAAACAAAATAGAATTTTAAGAAATATTTGAAAGAGACTGTAAACGTTTATTAAAGTGACCTTTCGTTTAATAAGTGAAATGTTCCATTCACAACAGTACCTTTATAACCTGTATTTGTTCAAAAATGAATAGGTTATCTATGTTTTTCTCTTTGAAAATTGTCAACTGTGGTTTCTCAACAGATATATGATTCCAGAAAAAAAGCTATATTCCACATTATCCCATAAAGGTTTAAAGGAAAAATACTATTACTTTCTATCTATCATTTTATGAGGGTATTATGCAAGGGAAAAACTAAAGATACACTTTTGATCAAATTGTTTAAAATTTTCGAAATTGATAACTATTGCGCATTTAGGTTTGTCTTTACACATTTGATAAGAAGAAGGATATTATCAACGATGAGGTTTTCCGTAGAGTTTTCAACAATGGTTTTAAAATTCAAAACAGGTTGCGAGTTTTATCCATTATTATTAAAAAAATACAACTTCCCAACGTCGTAGGACGCTGGAATATGTATTGTACCCAATATTTTCAGCTTTAGAAAATCTGAGCAAAAGAGCAGGCGCGCGTATTTTAGAAAATATTCAAATTCGACACTATGTGATGCCTAACTTTGTACAGCCGCGTTTGGTCCTAAAAATTCAAATATAAGGCTGAAATTTGGCGTGCCGTCTCTAAACTTAGTTATCTAAACAGATCGGAGGTCATTAACCTCCATTTTAACCTCCATAAACGCAGAAAATAGTAGAAAATACCAAGTTTTAAATTAAATTATCTAAGTTTAATTTGACATATTTTTAGCAACACCTTTTACACCTAATTCAAATGACAACATTTTTAATAAAAATAATTACAGCTTCCAATATTTTTAATAAAAATAATTCCAGCTTCCAACATTTTTAATAAAAATAATTCCAGCTTCCAACATTGTTATTAAAAATAATTCCAGCTTCCAACATTTTTAATAAAAATAATTTCAGCTTCCAACATTTTTATTAAAATAATTCCAGCTTCCAACATTTTTAATAAAAATAATTCCAGCTTCCAACATTTTTATTAAAAATAATTTCAACTTCCAACATTTTTATCCGTTTTTATCTAGAAATCCCATGAAGTTGGAACACCTCGGGTCCAAGACACTCCCAAATATCCATTTAAGCAGGTATAGATAGTAAACAAAGAAACTGATTATTCTACTCAAACTCTAATTTTCTTATCATTATGTCTTCACAACTTGATGTCGTATGACCTAGTTGATACTTCAAATTATTAATTTTACTAGATCAAATGGTCAAAGTTTGTAATGGCAACTAGATTTACACCATCATTTCTCTACGTTCTTCTTTAGGTTGCCAAAATAATCCTAGATGGGTCTGCGGCTAGGGAAGAAATGAAAACCCCAGTAGATTTACAGGTTAAAAATGTTTTCAACAAATATATATATATATATATATATATATATATATATAAAACAGAAATCTCTTAGTGTCGTCTTTTCGTGTTTGGATATCCGATCATAACTCAGGAATCCCTTGATCAATTGCCTGAAATTTTGATTGTGGAAGAACCACGGTAATGTTCTTAGCCTGGTTTAAAAATTCTATAAAAACTTAGTTTCCATTCAAATCAGGATTCCTAAGGTAGTATATAGATATATTCATGTGTAAAGGAATTGAGTTTTTGTCACAAACTCAAATTGTCTAATCCCTATATCTTTACAATCTGATGATGTAAACCCTTGATATTTCAAACTTACAATATTTGATCTAACAGAATTCATAGTTTAAAATATCAAAGGTCTACGACATTGGGTAGCAAAGATATAGAGATTAGAAAAGTAGACTTTGTGACAAAAACTCAGTTCCTTTCTTGTTATTCTTAAATAAATATTCTATTCTATTCTATTCTATTATGAAATTTTGTTTGCAACAATTATCCTTAGGTGTTCTACCAACAGTAATCCGTTGCATTTCTTTATAGATGTTAGCAACTGAAAGGAATTGAGTCTTTGCCACAAAATCAAATCTTCTAATCCATCTATCTTTGCAACCTGATAATGTAAACCTTTGATATTTCAAACTTAGATTATCTGATGTAACAGAATTAATAGTTTTAAATATCTAAGGTCTACGACATTAGGTTGCAAAGATTAAGGTTGAAGAAAAACATAGTTTGTGACAAAGAGTTTATAAGATATTTTTTAGATTGTTATCAGGGAAATTTTTTTCTTTATGCATGTCAATATAATAAATAATTCTTTCAAAAACATTACACAAACATTTAATGTAAAATGTACATTGTACTCTGATAAAAATATAATTCTTTGCGATTGATTCTTTAGTATTCCTGAAAACCTAATTATTATTCTATCGAAGTTTAAATCTCATTTTTCTCTTGGTACAGTTTCCTCTTTAATAAATATAATATTTAAATTTTTATATTCTAGGACATCGTTGAGAAACTGAACCTTGCTCTACAGCAGTGCAGAGCAAAGAAAGAGCATAGTTCAGATCTGGAATAAGGTGCAGAGCAAAGAAAGAGCATGGTTCAGATCTGGAATAAGGTGCAGAGCAAAGAAAGAGCATGGTTCAGATCTGGAATAAGGTGCAGAGCATGGTTCAGATCTGGAAAAAGATTGTGTCACGTGATTGATTGATAGAATTCTACACAAGCAATTATTTCTGATCAGCTGAAGCGATTATTAATATATTATATTACGGTAGCAAAAAATAAAATTTGAGATAGCCGAGCAGTGCTATAAACTAATCTTCGTGATATAAAGTTGATTCACCTGCTTTACAGGATTAGTTGGATCCCGGAGTGATAAGAAAAATCGCCAAAGCCTGAGACAAAATAATATCTAAAAGGTTCAAACAATCTTGAAAAATAGAAAATATTTACGGTTTCTCAAAGACAGATTTGTAAACTACTAGCTATAAAGTGCCCGTCGCTGCCCGTGGAATTCTTTAAAATCGAATTTTATAAGAAAAAAATTTAATTTAAAAAAATTCGAATTTTTACAGAAACAATTTTTTTACATTTTTTAGCCTATGTAATCAAGGGTTCCATCAAAAATGTCAGCCCATTCGGTCCAGTTGTTTGGCCAGCTATAGCTAACATTCAAACAAATATATATACGAGCTGAGAGCTTTATTATGTAGATCTGTCATTTAATGTATGTACTTTCTGTGATGTTGACAAAATGAAAGAAATACAAATTTGTTAGAAAATTATAAAATTTGCCTCGTTTACCAAAGGTTGTTGGTTTTATGCTTGAAATAAAGTTTCTTAATTTAATATAAATAAAAGTAAAAGTATTTAATTAGTTAAATGAGGTGCCAAAATATTCATATTATCAATAGACTATTTGTTAATAGCTAACTTTTTCTAAAATTTGTTTAGTCAGAGATCGGAACTTTTTTGTATGGATATTGTTAATCTTGAACGTGTGCATCTCCATTTCCAATGTGGGCACATCATTTAAATCTGAGGATCAATGATGGAGCCTTCAATTAAAGCTATTTTTGTAGGCTATGACTAACACGATATAGAAATAAATTAATCTGTAGATCTCCACATTAGAATTCTGACTTTTGAAAATCTTAAAAACTACTTTTCTTCATTTGAAAATGTATTGATATTAAATTTGATAAAACTATCTGACCCCCCCCCCCCTCCATTCAGATCAATAATTTTAGATATCATCAAATCTTCGGATAGTAAAATGATACAAAATGATAATAATGTGATAATACAAACATTATCAAAATTAGAATTCATTCTTTGGAAGGATACAGAACACTGTACATGGGATATAGAAAAAGTGGATACAGGATACAATTTTGTACAAACATGATTTGTATAGAAGATACAGGATAAATTTTAGATCTTTAAAGATACAGGATACTGTACACTGCACACATATTGATACAGTATACAGGACACACTGCTCATTGTACGTGTAAAGATACAGCATACAGAATGGGAGAAAAAGGATACAATACAGTAAATACAGGATACAGTGTAATATAATTAGGATACATATGACACATGACACAGGGTTACCCACAAAGGTTGAGACAGTAAAGACGACCGGAATCTCTTTGAATTTGACAAGTCCGGGGTTAAAGTAGGTCATTGTCTTGAATATAATCTTTTTGTGGCTTATTCATTGATTAGGCTAAAAAGAAAAAGTTTAAAGATGCATGGAATCATGAGTATAAGGAAACAGACAGTATAAATTCTGTACAATCGTCTCTCAATTCTTATCCTTTGTAAGAAGCCCTGAGGCCGAATTCAAAGAATTTGATCCGCGGTTTAAATTAAAGCCGCGGCTCAAATATGGTTGGTTCCACTTAAATTTGTATTAAAATTTTCAAGATTTAAGCCGGCGGTCAATTAAAACCGGTTTTTGGTGGATTTGAGATGTGGCTTAAATTCATTAAATTCGGACACTGTAAACATATAAATATATATATTATAGCTGTGCAAGTTTACACTGTGGACAATGTACATATATAAAGATATATATTATAGCTGTGCAAGTTTACACTGTGGACAATGTAAATATATATAACACACGGTTACCCCAGAAAGGATAAGACTGCAGATTTTCTAAAATTAATATATCCCTGCTGCTCTGAACTGTTTATTTGGTAGCAATATCATTAAATACATCATTGAAAGAAAGTATCCAACGCATAATCCCAAAGTAAAAACCTTAATTAGTTATATTTCTGGAGTTTTTGGTCGTCAGTGAAGTATCATCTGTGGTGGGTATCTCTATAAGACATTAATACCATTAAGAAAGTACATAACAGATGTTTCAAAACAACATTTTCAAGATAAAATGCAGGCTTCCATGATCATCTTGGCTATTGGGCTAATCTCATGTACTCAGGTCATATTTTTATCATATTTTTACTTTATTTGTTTGTTTTTGAATAGATATTTGTATTAGAGAAAAAAGAGAAAAAATATTCTGAATGTATAAACTGTTATTTGTCTAATGTATAAAAAAGCATATTTCACGTATAGAAAAGATATTGTACGAGGTTACCGATAGGAATGAAACTTTAATGAACACCTAAGGCCCACCAAATTTACCTTAAATATTACCTTTAAACGATTAGTAAATTAAGAAAGTAGCAAGTTACTATATTGTAGGAAACCAAGGCGTCAAACATTATAGAAATCCAACGTATAGAAGTCGCTAAGTATAGCAACAATGCATATTATCCGGAAGAATTTTTTTTATATTTTTGAGAAAATAGACGTTTATGTAAAACATTGTAGCAAATCATTATTTCTATTTTACCTTACTCAAGACACTATACAACTAACTAGATAAATATGTACTTATTTGTACTGCTCTCTTTTGTGTTTAAGGTCCCCCCAGATTTTATTATGTACTGACAACATAAATGAATGATTATATGGTTGCATAAAATTGCGTGTTACTATTAAAAAACTATTTTATGAAAATGCTATCTACAGTTTTATTTTAACAAGAAAAAAATTTCTCAAAAATAAAAAAAAGTATTCCAGTAATCATATCAGATTTCATAAAATTCCGTGTTACCATTTAAATAAAAGGACTTTATGAAATTATATCTCTTAACACTGAGTATTTAATTTCTCAAACATATAAAAAATGTTCTCCCGGAAAATACCCCTTGTTGCTATACCTAGCGATTTCTATACGTTGGATTTCTATAATGTTTGACGCCGGAAACCAAGACTAAGAAACAAAAGATTGCAAAAATTCCATACAGTCGTCTATAAAGTCTCATCCTTTGTGGGTAACCCTATACTATATTTTCAATATTTTTACAAAATTGGATTAACCTAAATCAAACTTATCTCAACTGTGCACTCTGATCAAATCTAGAAAATTATTAAAAAATTCTTTTTTTGATGAAAAATATTGTAGGGCTTCACAATCTCTCAAACTGTTCTAACTACAGACCTAGAAGAACATCCGGAGAAAATCTACAATATGCTTAGTTTAAATAATCTAGGTGAAAGCATTTCCTTAAAAGGACTGTTGGCTAACTTCACACGACGTTCCAATTAAAGAGGGAATTCTTGATTCACAACGGGACCCTTTCACAAAAAATAGATTATTTCAAATCAAACGTCCTCCATAAAGTTGACTTAATTAGTGCGAATTAATGCAGCAGAGAAAAAAATGGAAAATGTCAGAATTTATAACTTTTCATTAAAAATAAACAAAATATAGTTTTGTATCTTCACAAAAAATGTATTGAGCCTTAATGGATATTTGTTAATTTTCCTCCGCTCTTTTTGTTATGACAACTTTAGGAGAAATCTGAATTCAATTCTGATTTACTCATTTAGATTTCTCAAGTTGTGTGATATCAAAATCAACGCTAAAAGACGACTTTCACTAATATCTTGAATACAGGGAAAGGTGATGACGATGATGATGATGATGATGCCACCTGTGGAACCATCGGAGCCGCTTGCGATCCTAAAAATCTTTGCTGCAGTAAGTAACACTTTTGAGAAGAAGAAATTTTGATGCGTACAGTCGTTAAAATGAGTGAACTGCAAACCAAAATAAACAATTTAGCAATTGAAGGAAGAGAAAGTTGCGTCAATAGATTGTTGATGGGAGAAGGGAGACATGCTAGGTTCACCAATAGATATTGACAAGGCGGTTTTGAATTAGAATTAGATTTCAAAATTTGAAATTACCTCCTCATTGCTACTTATTTTAAGAACTAACCCCATCGATATTCCAGCTGGTTTAAACTGTCTGAACATCGTGATCGGTACCAAGTGCTTCCCATTGTCCTTCATGGTGTCCACCAATCCCCAGGACCCCTCCACCTTCTCCTCAAACAACAAGCTCTTCAAGAACTTCATGAGACTCAAAAGAAAGGTAAATTTACTTGCAAGGTTGTGGGGGTTTGAATTTCAAAAAAAATTTAAAAGATAAAAAGAAATGGAACTTGAAGGGTTCTAGAGATTCCAAGGTCAAATGTTGATTCTAGGAGTTCCACTTAAAATAAAAGACTATTTAGCTAAGCTTTCAATGTCATGGTATTCTTCCATTTGCTTTTATTCGATAATCTAAAATCTGAACAAAATTCTTCATATCTCTGGAAATTTTGACGAAAGCATTATATGGCAGACAACTATTTGGAAATGCCAAGTGTATTTCATAAGTTGTTATGATTGTTTGAAGAATCTTACATAAATAGCTTCAGGAGATCAAAGACGATTTAAGTCATTGCTCAAATATTATACTAAGTGGGGCCGTATTGAATTGCAAAACTCATTTTTCTAACCACTATATCTTTGGAACCTGATGATGTAAATTTTTGATATTTCAAACTTAGATTAATTGATCCAACAGAATTCATAGTTTGAAATAACTATGGTCTACGACCTTTGGTTACAAAGATAGAGAAATTAGAAAATCTGAGTTTGTGGTAATGACTCAATTCCTTTATACTTATTCTAATAATGTTTTTGGTGATCAGCATCGATGATATCATTTTTTTAGAATAATTAGAGGCGAAAGAACTAGTTTGCTGACTGTTTAGTGAAGGATACAAATAAAATAAAAATCTTATCTGTAACTTTTAATAAATGTTGAATCAAATATCAGGAGAGAAGAGAGAGTTTGAAATTATTTTGAAATGTCGTCTTCCAGTTTCAAAATATAGCTGCCGTGCAAATTGATTATCAAATGTGATGGATCTTCCCCAACAAAACAAAATTTTACGCCTTTTCGATGAAAAAATAAGACATGGATAGGGTTTTTATGAGAATTATTTATTTCCTCAACTTTTCCCTGATTTATTTTTAAAATTTTCATTTAATTGATAACACAAGCAACTTCTAGTTCAATCCATGTTTTCCACCCCGGACTAGCCAGAGTGAGCAGCATTCGGTTTCTTCTATTTGAAATCAATCGTGTTTTGGTCTATAATTCAACAATATTTTACCTTACGGATTTGTTTATGCTATACTTTTCCTTCAAAATGCATAAACAAACAAAAAAGTATTTTAAAAAAAAAGACTAAAAAATTATGTTAATGGGTCAAATTGTGATCGAAGTCACAGCTTTCTGGAATATTGACAGAACCGTTAAATCCACGTGGTTCTCTTGTTAAATTGAAAAGAGAAAAAAATAAATATATTTTTCTATAAAAGATAATTTCCAGTTTTACGATGAATCATATCAAGTTAGGATTTGATGAGTATTTTTTTTGCACTACGTTTTTTTACAAAAAAAAATTATCCTACTTGATCTAAAAATGGAGAGCGGTTTTAAACCTGATTTTTGCCCTGAAAATTTCAGAAAATTTCCAGATAAAAATTGTTTACTGGTTACATTACTGTATAAATTTATAAAATATTTTTTTCGTCGATTTTACTCTGCCTAGTGCCTATAAGTATTTTTTTACGAAACTTTGACAAAATATAGCTTTTTGAAAATATGGAGAATTTCCATAAAGCAATATTAGATTGAATGGCGAGAACAAATATCAAAACAATATAAAAACGAACTGAACAATTTAAAAAAAAATGGTCCCAGACGTATATTAGTGAATATTCATTGACAGTGACAACCAGAAAACAATTTAATAGAAAGACGACATTATAGCAATACTTAAGCGTTTTGATGTTGTTACAAAGCAAATATTTTTACTAGTTACATAGCAAAGCACAATTTAAGTGAAAATTGTCTACTTACACTGTACAATTGCTATGTATAATATTCATGAACTAGTTTAAGTCCTAACTTGAGTTTAAAAGTCGTCTCCCTAATTCAGATTTTTCTGGTTATCTCTGTATGTAGATTATATCCTTTATAACAGTTGAGTGTAGAGTGTCAAAGGAAATTTGCACATTTTTAGTTTTTCTTGATTAAAAATCAGGTTATTTAAAATTTTGCACAAACTTTTGCATATATGAAATGGCATGGTCAAGGGCTTTTCAAAAATGTATAATTCATCATTTTTTGGACAAATTTTTTTTTGAAAACATTTTTACTATATAACTGGATTTTGCGATAAAAAATTCAATTTTTGCAAATTTGCAAATTTCCAATGATGTATCATTTGTCATATTTGGACATCAAACATGGGATTTAGACGGGGGGTCAAATTGACCCCCCCAGCATATCCTGGTTTTCAAGTACCCCAGCAGAGATAGGGTTAAAACTGTTCCCACATATTCATGGCTTTTAATTTATTTTCGGAAATACTGAAATTTACAAAATATAGTATAAAACTCATTGAAAAATTGTCAAGACGACATTTGATAAATTCTTCCGATGTATTTGTTTTAAAGGGTTTCAGTGTATAATGTCGGCTTCCTATTCCATTGTTTTCTCGTTCTCACTGTAAGCAATCTGTTGTTGTTGTAAAATCAAATAGTTTTACCGGTGCTTGCTGTATTTCATATTTATTGAAATATTTAAATCATAACTTTATCCTTACAGTCGTCTTCCAACACTACAGTTTTACCGGTGCTTGCTGTATTTCATATTTATTGAAATATTTAAATCATAACTTTATCCTTACAGTCGTCTTCCTACACTACAGTTTTGTGTCTCACAAGTCAAAGTATTTAATATTTATATTTTTTATGCAAACATGGTAGAACTCAGGGGTTGAAAATCAAGCAATTAAATATGGATACAGGGTGTTCCACTAAACATGACACATCTTTTTCAAGTACTTAAGATCGTATTCTAATGTAAAACTATGCATTACATACACCTACTTGAATACAGAGATTAAAAGAATACAAGTAATACCATAGAGTGGTCGGCGTTTTATTAATACAATGCAGACTTTTTTTGTAATGCATGCGTTGATCCCGGACAAGCGTTTTTGCGGTTTACATTTGGACAAAAAGAAGCTGTTCATTGACAACTTCTCTTGCTTACATTTTTGTGTCTCAATAAGAAATTAGAAATTAATTAGACTTTAAAATTGAAATTGAAAGTCGTTTGTCTTGTATTGATATAACATATTTTGACCATTGCATATGAACTGTTTTTACGGTATGCGCTTAGTTGTCTTGTCTTATCTACTGTTTATAATGAGACTCCTTAAACTGTGGAAGAGGAAGACGAGATTTAAGCAATCTTGTCTGTATTTGATTTTGTTCGAGAGCAAATAGTTGTTTCTCTAGGGCGAAAATCATCTTCTTAAGTGAATTGGGTCTGTGAATACACTGAACAATTCCAAAGTTTTAGGCTCACCGATGTCTAAAAGTCGTCTTCCTATTCTATAATCGATGGGTCCTACTGTAAAATATCTTCAAATGTTTATAATTACAAAATGTCTGCCATTTTTAAAATGTTCTTTTCTAGTTCTACATTAACTATTTCTACTTGTATCAAAATATCAGAAGATATTGAGACAAGTGAATAATTTATTTAAATAAAGGTTTCCAAATAAATAAGTTAAATATTGTCAACTACTGTAGTTTAACCGTAGTGAGGAGCGGGGGCAGCAGGGTAGTGAGGAGCAGGGGCAGCAGCGTAGTGAGGTTCAGGTTTGGGGGCCTCATCCGCAGCATATCCGTAAACAATCTCAGCACACACCTGCTTAGGGAGAGTCAGCTCAACAGCCTGGCAGGCGGGGGCAGCAAGGCTGGTCACACACTTCTCAAAGGTCTCGGAGACATCTTCGATGGCAGGGACGGTGATGCACTTCTCCTCGGAGAGGTCCTCGCAGGAGATTCTGGGGAGGATGATGGGGATGTTGACACAGGTCTTAATTGGCTCGGGGTAGGTGACATCAACGGCGGGCTCGACAGGGGTGACTACGGGGTTGTTGTAGCAGGTCTCCTGGGCGACCTCCTTGCAGTAGTTGTGTCCGTATCCTTGTCCGTATCCATACTTAGCGGGCTGGCAGACGGTGACCATCTGCTGGGTGCACTCCTTTACGAAGGTAACCTCGACGGTCTTGGCGGTGGTGGCCTCGGTCTTTTGCTGGTAGGAGTAGGTGCAGACCTCGTTGTCGATCTCCTCGGTGGACTCGGAGCAGACGGTTCTGGTGACGGTGTAGCACTGCTGAACGTCAATGACGTTCTTCCTGGTGAGTTCGACGGGTGTGCAGACGGTCTCGAAGGCGGGGGTGCAGACCTCAGCAGCCTCTACAACATCGAGGACGGAGCAGTTATGCTTGGGGGTCTCGTAGGAGTGGTAGGCTGGGGCGGGATGATGGTAAGGGGCGGGTTGGTGGTAGGCGGGGGCAGCATGGTAGGGGGCGGGCTGGTGGTACACCTGGTTAGGGAGTCCAGCTACCAAAGGGATAAGAGCAAAAAGTGCAAAAGCCTGAAAATATATGATTTTTACAATTTTTAATATTTCACTTTTTTGAAGAGTTACAGTAAAAAATCTGATTTTCAACAAATTAAAATATTTCTTATTCAAAATCTGTTTTTCACTGTAAACATTAATAATTGAGCGGGTTGTATGATTTAATTAGATTTCATTGGCAATTGTAAATTATTTAATTACTGCGTTGTTGTTGTATCCGAATATATTTGTTGTTTGTTTACCTGCATGATTCTGCTACAAGGAACACTGTTTGAATGAGTACAAAACCTCTATCAGTATCATTTATACTCAACCTAAACGCCGGCGCCTAGCCTATCTGCACTGCGCCGGCGCCTAGTCTCCGTGCACTGGCGTCAGTAGCGTCAGAATTGACGCGGACCGAAGTGGGCGCGGTCGCTAGACAAGCTGTTTTAAAAGCTGCCAGACTCTACGCAGCATGTATTTAGGGCAACATTTTTGACACTCATGATATGAAAACACCCCGGTCAAAAATAAAGAAGTACTTTGTATTGTAGCCACGGGATATTATTATGTGTTGCTCTTGGAAAAAGTGGTTCACGAGTAAAAAACAGGGTGAATCAAGATTATTATATGGAAATAGAATTCAAAAAAACTTAAATTATGTATTTTAAATTAGTTAATTTACAAAGATTTTTTTAACCCATTTTGACAAATTTAGCTGGTCTTTCAGAACTTTTAAAATTTGAATTTATTTTTGAAAACAACGGAATAACAAGTTTTTATTCATTCTACCGCTCAAATATACATGCATTAATGTTTATTTTCTTTAAATAACACTTTCCTAAATTTTTTGACAACTTTTAAGCATGTTTCTCAAATTTAAGTCCTTTGCAATAACTATTTGACTGAAAAAAAATGTACAAGAAATCTTCGAGAAGTTTTTTAATCTTACTTATTATCTTATCCTAATATCTTAATTAAGCCGTGTAAACGTTTTAATTAAGGTTGACTACATTACTAGGCTGTATTTCAATGCAATGTCATAAACCAGTAAATTCTATTGAATAAACTAATGTTTAAATTTTAAACGTGAATTAGGATAAAATGAACATAAAGAAGTTGAGTTAACTACCAACTAGTTCAAAACGGAACATTTTTATAGAATCGGAGAAAAGAATTTGTTTGCTCTATCCCTGATTATTCCTAGTGTATCAATTATTTCAATCAGCTTATTTTTTACAGCTTTCTTTTTAAAAGTTTAGCTGTTCAACCATTTAATAATTCAGTTGTTGTAAATCTCGTATTTCTCTAAATAAGATATCTATCAAATAAGATATCTATCAAATAAGATATCTATCAAATAAGATATCTATCTATATTATCAAATTATTCAACAAACTATATTAATTTTTAATATACTTATTTTTTTGATAAAAAAAATTATTCTTTTGTAAAAAAATTGGTTTTTGTCACAACCTTAGATTTTCTAATCCCTATATCTTTTGAAACCCAATGTCAAGACCTCAGATGTTTCAAACTATGAATCATACTTATACTATCAAACATCTAAGTTAGAAACAAGAAAGGTTTTCACCTTCAGGTTGCAAAAATATAGGGATTAGAAACCTTGAGTCAGTGGCAAAGATCAATTCAAGTGTACTAAAAATAATTATTTTAGTTTTCCTTTATGTCAGTATTAAATATAATTCCACTCAGTTGTGTAATTGCTTTAAAACTTTAAAATTTATAAATATTAATCTACGTGTGTCTACTGATTAACCTTGCATGGGATTTCTAGTTTTCAATGAGATTGAAAAATGTCTTGAATATTAGAATTTAAACATCTTTTACCCCTATCAGATAATCACTAGTGTCTAATCATGTTTAATTCTTTTAAACGATGAAAGATACACTGAAACCCTGCAATATCTTTGTGTTTCCGACTTACTTGGAGGAATATTAAAAACCATGGAAAAACTTAACACAATTTTATTTACGGGCCGTTCAAAGAAAATTCAAGCTGCAGAAGAGTTTTTTTTATTTGAAATCTTTTCACGCTAAAACTTTTAAAGTTATATTTGTTAAAGGTTTAGATATAATCGTTTAAAGCTTTCTTCATCAATAAGTTTAATCTTTAATCTTAAATATAGTTTATCATTTTGATATTCAGAGAACACATTAATTATTAATACAGATATCAGCAGTAGTATAAGTAGAACAGATCTTTTAAATGTGTTCAAGAACTAAAAGAATCTTTATTATAATTTTCATCTTTTAAAGAGAGTGACCGGCAATGTAAGGTAGTTGAACTGAGTATGCAGTGTTGTCGAAAACTTCTTTAGGATTCATTTGAGACATATTTCACTTTTTAAAGATCTGTAAATCCTGAGTTTGAGCGCAATTCGACATTCAAAACTCCTTATTTGGGGGTGGATACGCTTTCAGAATTAGTTTTTTTAAATTATTAAATAACGACAACGAAAAATAAAGCAAAAATTATACAGTAATCTAATTAGATGGCTAGGAACATATTTCACAAAAGAAATTTGTCAATAAATCAATGTTAAAATCGATTATTTCGTTTTCATTATTATATTTAAATTCCAATTTTCTTTGAATTTATCGCAGATTTCTTCAAATTCTTTAGATGTCGTCTTTTCAATAATAATTATAGAAAATCTGCGAAGATCTTTGTGAATATCGAGAAACTAGAATAATGAGATAATAGAAACTAATAATTGAACAAGATTACTTATTTTCGATGATAAGATTAATTTTTATTTTCTCAAAATGTTCCTAAACATGACGTCTGTAGTTTATTGTAGAATATTTTTACATTTTATGTCGTCGTTAATTAATAATTTTAAAAAACTAATTCTGAAAGCGTATCCACCCCCAAATCAGGAGTTTTGAACGTCGAATTTGCGCTTAAACTCAGGATTTACAGACTTTTAAAAAGTGAAATATGTCTCTCTCAAATGAATCCTAAAGAAGTTTTCCACAACACTGCGTCCTCAGTTCAACTACCTTACATAGCCGGTCACTCCCTTTAATATTTATATTTTATCAATTGTGTCAACAATACGTTCACAAATCACAGAGTTAATATTAGATTACAAGTAGATTCTATATAATTTCCTCTGTATCTACCTGCACTCTATATACTTGACTCAGTTTATGGTTTGTTATTAGATTAATCTGTATTATCCTAACATTTTTTATGTACCTTTGTAACATTGTACATACATCATGTATCCGTCTTGCATATGCATTAATACTGCATTTAGACTTGCATTTAGTTTTAGCAATCGTTAATCAAAGCACAACTCATTCTTACTCTTTGTGTTGAAGGGAATTAAGTTTAATTTAGTCTATCTTTTATGTCTGTTAGTTTAATACAAGCCTTATTTAGAATACAATCCTCCATCCATACACGTGTAGACGTTTGTAAAAGATACACTGCTTTAGCTTTTTAGGTTTAAAGAAACTCATTACACATATAAATCTGCGGAATGCAGAAAACATTACAGTTTTTTAAGAATAAAATGAGAAAAAAGTGAATAACATTAAAGTTTACACTATACACGGAATGTATGATTAGTATTACTCAACGTAAAAAGTTGAGATAAAAAGTAGAAGAAAATGGTTAAAAAGAAAGTCCAGATTTTTTAGTTAGTCAAATGCAAACCCAAGATATCTTCTAATAAAACCAATAATGTAAAAAGAATTGTCCAGATTTATAAAAAAAATTGTCCAGATTTTGAAGATGATAAGATAAAAAGTAAAGATCATCTTAAAAGTTAAGATCTTGATAAACGTCAAGAAAATATTGATATTAGAGTCAAGATAGCTAATGCAAGATTATTAATAATAAATTAAAGTTGTTGATAAAAAGTCAAAATTATTAAAAATTTTAATTAATCGATAAACAGTCTTAATTATAAAAGTCAAAACTAATATAAAAAGTCAGGATTTTCACAAAAAAATCAAGATTATTCTTTTACCGTTAACCCTATTCCCGCTGGGGGGGGGGGCAATTTGACCCCCCCCTGTAGTTTTTTTTACATAACTCAAAAAGTATTGGTCTGAGGCTGTTGAAATCTTCTCACTCTTCATAAAAACCCAAAGCCCTCCCTTTAGGCCTAAAACCGGGCTTTAATACTAACTGCCTGAGTCCTCAGGCACACTGCCTGGATGACTGCTTTTGCCTGTAGCAAACTAAATTGGTTTGGTTAATAATATGATTTTGTTAATCGCATGAAGCGTTGATTTGCCAATGACTTGTAGAAAGCTGGATTTTCAAACATAATTGAGTTATTGAGTTTTTCTCAGTCAGTCATAAAAAGTAAAAAGAAAGAAATAAGGAAATTTTTTTTTCCTTTTAAGAATTGATTTTATTTCTTTTGTCTTTTCTCTTCCATCTAACCTTTCCTATCTTTTTTGTTCTCTGTGTTCGCTGGCTCCGTAAAAAATTCTCTCTCAAATTCTCCTACTTAAAGGACTTTACATATATTATTAAGATGTAACTCAGAAAGTCAAGGTTTCTGTTAAAAGACAAGATGTTTGATAAAAAGTCAAAATATGATCAGTAAAGCAAAAAAGTACCACACAATCATGAACGTATACTCAATACTGAAGACTGATAATTTGAAAGAATTTCAATAAGATCTTATATTCAATAATATTTTCTAGTTAAACTGTTTTCAATGCTCTCGTTATTTATGTTCAGGAACTATAAAGGATTTCATAGTAAAATGATGAAGTCAGAAATAATGATATAATCTGAAGAAATTACGTGATTAAACATATCTCCTCTCGTCTCCTCTCTACCGTTATCAAATAGAAAAGAAAGGCCCCGTGTTGGCGCCGTGTTGGTTTGGGGAGTTGGCGCCGGCGTCACAGCAGCTGCATATAAAACATTGTTGTAGTGCTTCTATAGTCATTCACACAGTTGGTTCGCTAGCATCAACATGCAGGTTGGTCAAATACTAAAATATATATTCAGATTTATAAACTAAATTATTTACAGTTATATTAATAATAAAGGCATAATAGCAATATAAATTTGGAGAATCATCCAATTGCAATTAATTGAATAATTGAAACCATTTAACATTTTTCTAAATTTTTTTATTCCAGGTTTTCGCACTTCTCGCCCTTGTCCCATTGGTAGCTGGACTCCCTAACCAGGTGTACCACCAGCCCGCACCCTACCATGCTGCCCCCGCCTACCACCAACCCGCCCCTTACCATCATCCCGCCCCTGCCTACCACTCCTACGAGCCCCCAAAGCACAACTGCTCCGTGCAACAAGTAACTGAGTCCGCTGAGGTCTGCACCCCCGCCTTCGAGACCGTCTGCGAGCCTGTTGAGATTGTCAAGAGGAACATCGTTGACAAGGAGCAGTGCTTCCCCGTCACCAGAACCGTCTGCTCCGAGTCTACCGAAGAGGTTGCCAACGAGATCTGCACCTACTCCTACCAGCAAAAGACCGAGACCACCACCGCCAAGACCGTCGAGGTCACCTTCGTAAAGGAGTGCAACCACCAGATGGTCACCGTCTGCCAGCCCGCTAAGTATGGATACGGACAAGGATACGGACACAACTACTGCAAGGAGGTCGCCCAGGAGACCTGCTACAACACCCCTGTTGTCACCCCCGTCGAGCCCGCCGTCGAGGTTGCTTCCCCCGAGCCCATCAAGAACTGTGTCCAGAAACCCATCAGCCTTCCTAAAATCTCCTGCGAGGACCTGACTGCCGAGAAGTGCATCACTGTGCCCGAGGTTGAGGAAGAGACTGTTACCCTAGAGAAGTGCATCACCCAGCTGTCCGCCCCCGCTTGCCAGACTGTTGAGCTGACCCTCCCCAAGGAGGTTTGCATTGAGATCGTGTATGGATATGCTGCTGATTCTGCTAAACACGAGCCTGCTTATCCTACTGCTGCACCAGCTTATGCCCCTGCTCCCCACTACGGATAAGCGTACTGGAATCCAAACTATTTAAATTATTTATTTGATCCTTCATATTTAAATAAATTATTTGCTAATCCAACTATTTGACAAAAATCTAAACTGTAGGGAAACTGTAGAGAAATTTACTAGCTATGAAAAAAGTACAGAATTCATTTACATTTTCCGATGAATATCGTTCTTATCATAATTTCTTGATTAAAACATTTTAAGATCTGCCAGTGATAATAATAGTATAATTGAACTGATAAGAAATGCAAAGCAGTGGTAAACATGAAGTAGGTAGGTTAGAGCAGTGTAGACTGTATTTAACCATATGGGCTGAATGGTTCAACCATATTTCCTTATTATACCGGCAACATATTAAACTTTAATGGTAGAAGCGGTTAAATCATAGATTGGGAGCGTAATATGTAATTGGTTTAATAACAAATATAAATCCTAACAACTGTATCGCCCTAACTACCTCTTTAACCCTTTTTGTTTAGCAAAAATTGTTCGCCAATATTTTGTTTAAGAGTTACCTTGTTCAGAAATATTCTTGTTCTACGATATTCTTGATCTGCAATATACCTTGTTTACCATGTTCAACGTATATATTTTGTTAAACAATATACCTTGTTCAACAATATACTTTGTTGAACAATATACCTTGTTCAACAGTATACCTTGTTAAACAATATACCTTGTTCAACATATATACCTTGTTCAACAATATACCTTGTTCAACAATATACCTTTTTCAACAGTATACCTTGTTCAACAGTATACCTTGTTTACAGTGTTCAACATATATAACTTATTAAACAATATACCTTGTTCTACAATATACCTTGTTCAACAATATACCTTGTTCAACATTATACCTTGTTCAACAATATATGTTCAGAAATTCCCTTGTTCACTAATTCTCTTGTTTAACAATAACTTTTGTTTTAAAATACCATTGTTGAACAAGCCTCTGTGTTTTACAATACACCTGTTCAACAATACCATCGTTCAATAATTCCCCTGCTCAACAATGACCTTGTTCAACAATGACCTTGTTCAACAATGACCTTGTTCAACAATGACCTTTCTCAACAATGACCTTGTTCAACAATGACCTTTTTCAACAATGACCTTGCTCAACAATGACCTTGTTCAACAATGACCTTGTTCAACAATGACCTTGTTCAACAATGACCTTGTTCAACAATGACCTTGTTCAACAATGACCTTTTTCAACAATGACCTTGTTCTACAATGATCTGTTCAATGATGGACTTATTCAGCAACACCCTTGTTCAGCAATGACTTTGTTCAACAAGCCTCTTTGTTCAACAATAAATTTGTTTCACAACGGATTTGTTCAAAAATAAACAATAATGTACACTAATGGTGTTGAATATTTTAATATTCCTATTGATACGAAATTGTGATTGGAACGAAACCAAAAAAAAGTTCTTATATGAGTAAAATTATGCATTAGTTAATTAGTTAACAACTTTAAATTTGAAATTACGCAGATAAATAATTTAATATACTGGAACTGAAAATCACTAAACCTCTTCATTGATAAATTGAACTGATGAAATGTAAAAATACTATTAGGTTTCATTTTACTACTGTTAAATAGTTATTAAAGTAAAAAGATTATTAAACTGTAAAGAATAGCTAGTAAGCAATGAAGGCAATAATCTAGCCTTGTAAACAATAGACAAGGGTCTACCAAGCTACACAGATAGTTATAGCTTGTAGAAGAGCTACCTCATAAACAATGCAGATAATGAATCGATGTAGATACTTAGCTAGTAAACATTGTACATGCTTAGATAGAAAGCTGTGTATATAGTTAGTAAGCAAGGAAGAAAGTTAGATATTAAACTATTAAGATAAAAAGCTATAGTGAAGTAGTAGAAAGGTAAATATATAAATAGCAAGCTAGATTAACCTTTACTGCTGGTATTCCCCAACCTTAACCTTTTAACTCTTCTTATACTTTCATTTTTATATAATTTGTACTCCCTATACTCCCTACTCCCTACTCCCTACTCCCTACTCCCTATACTGCCTACTCATACTCCATACTCCATACTCCATACTCCATACTCAATGCTCAATACTCCCTACTCCCTACTCCCTACTTCCTACTACCTACTCCATACTCCATACTCCATACTCCATACTCCATACTCAATGCTCAATACTCCCTACTCCCTACTGCCTACTCCTCAATCTCTCTCTTGGTACCAGTTTGGTTTTGTTTTATAATATATTTTCTTTCGTAATATATATAAAATACCAACTAATTAATGGCGACAGTGCAGAACCAGAAAGGAGGAAAATAATATGACATTAATCCTATAGATCCTTACAGAGATACGCCCTCTAAACTTCTGGATTTAAAATATTGATTAAAAATAACAAAATTTAATTTTAAAGCTTACAAAAAAGGGGTCAATTTTTTTTTGAAAATACAAAAGATGAGACTTCAGAAACTACAGAATTAAGACTGTCTTTTTTCAAATAAATGATTCCCTGTAAATGTAAATTTTTTCCTATTTATTGAAAAAAATTATATTTATGATAGAATACTCGATTTAACCTTGGAAACGTCATAATTAAAGAGTTTCTAGGTCGTCTTTACAGTCTCATCCATGATTTGGGTCAAATAAGTTTCTTTCCAAAAAGCTTCTACAATACATAAACATTTTTCCATTCTGTTTGTCTGCTTTGTATCCAATAAAAATCAGACTGACGGAACCGATCAGGCCAAAATTTGCTGTTTATAGCCAGGTCAACAAATGGTCCTAAGGAAAGACTTTTAGGACAGTTAGAAAAAAACATCTTAGCTTCCAAAAGATGGATTTCAAGTTTCTTATGGGAATTCACTAATGTTCGAAATAAATTAGTTTTATGATGGTATGGAATAAAATATATAAAAATTCCTTTATTAGGTGTTACTAGAAAAAGTTGTGAAAAGCATGTGCTCTGAAAATCTAGAATGAATTCCTCTACAACCACGATCATTCCCCCCTTAAAAATTCGAACTGCAAGTTTTATTAATATTCTACAATAAGCTATATTTATCTCTGAAACTTGAACTCGTGTTTAGTGTAATATATAAAAACCTAAATTAGTTTAAAATACAGGGTGTAACCATTAATCTTTTACAACTTTCAAAACTGACAGCTTTAGATTTTTTAATATGAAAACAACTGTGTCAGTTTTCTGTTCTAAATTTTTTCAACCATACTTAAAAAACATTTATAATCCAAGGTTGCCCTTTTTCAAATGTACATGCATTTAAAATTACTAAACATATTTTTTTGGTGTTGTGAATTTATATTATTTCTGTCTCACCCTGTATATAACGGTTTCCAAGATACCAAAAACCCTGGTCAAACATTTATATAAGTTTAAACGGAACAAAGAAAACAATTATATTCTGGTTCACCAGATATATATATATTATATATTATATTATATATATTATACGTATTATAAAGGGCTCACAGTATAATAAGTACGGTTTTATGTGATGGCCAGACATTTTGGATAATTATTTAAATCTTTTATTGGATGACCCCCCCTCTAATCGCGTTGGGACCCCTGCTTTTGAGATTAAATAAACTCAGGCGTTTTCAAATTTTATTATTATTATTATTAAAGATTTATTCACACACATTGATCTACATTCATATTACATCTTTGTATATAATAAAATAAGATATTTTTTGTGGACACTCATGGGTGGCCAAGGGGTGTTACAGGTTAAAAAAAAATCGAACATTTTTTTCCGATTTTTTTTTCCACGGGCAACGCCGCGCCCTTCAGCTAGTATTAAATATATATATTAATAGTGTAGTTTAAATTTATTTTGTTTAAATATAGAAATGATATTAGTGGGGTGGGGTGGAGAGTGTGTGACACCAGTTCTCGTTAGATCACTGAAGTTAAGCACACTTGTCCACAGCCAGTTACTGGATTGGTGTCCAGACTGGTGTTCACGGGTTCGATTCCCGTACTCCACACAAACCTGTGGTTTCAAAAACATCTGAAGCCGACATCTGGTTTAGCAGTTATGACCACCTAACGGATGTAGGAGGACAGAGGGGCGGCTGTCAACAACTCTCGCAGCGAAAGGGTGCGTGCTTTCTGCTCAACAAGAAAGAAGCTTCAAGTGGGATTGGTCCAAGTGAATGACGATGAAGAGAGGAATGGAAGACAAGCAGGGAGAGTCTATGGTTGCCAGCTATAGGTATCTGGGGGTATCCAATCCGGGCTTACAGATGTTAGGGAGCAATGAGTGTGATGTTTCCTATCAGTACGGCACCCGGGCCTCATTCCAGTATATCAGAAGGATTCCTGCACTCTATATTCACAGGCCTAAGAAAAATCTTAGGCAGCTGGAATCTTGTCAACCCTCTTCTCAGGATGAATGAAGCGTGGATGGATGAATGTGCTGCCAGATTACAACCCCTGGTAGATCAATATAAAAACCCAGACAACACCAAACTTTCGCAATAGAAAAAATTCCGAGATTTGATCGTAACAACCCGATCATGTCCTGGGGACAAAAAAATCTCTTTTAAAGATATTAGAAGTATTCACTCTCATAATCTATAATTTCATAAACTGCTATTTAAAGAAATTTGAATTGAATTTGAATTAAATGTGATTCGGGAAAAGTTTCAAAGGAATTGAGTTTTTGCCACAAACTCTTCTTTTCTAAACCCTATATCTTTGGATTCCAATGTCGTAGACCTTAGCTATTTCAAACTATGAATTATGTAATATCAAATAATGTAAGTTTGAAATATCAAAGATTTGCGACATTGAATTCTAAAGATATAGGGATTATAAATTCAGAGTTTGTGGCAAAGACTCAATTCCGTTTAGTGAGAATCAAATTAAAAATGTTAGAGCAAATCATCTCTTAATTAATACATATTCTAACTGCATATACACTTTTTCACCTCATCAATGGTTTTTTATGTTTTTTAGTAGACTTGACATCCACACGTCAAACGGGTGTATGTATACCTATTCTTGATGTTGCAGGTAGACTTGACATTCATATTTCGCACTCATAAAGGG